TAGCAGATGTTTGAGTAGAAAGCTTCCAAAAGGGACAACATTCCCATTTCCCATTGAAATCACTGGCAAGTAGATCCCAATACCCATATTTGGAGGCTAATTTAGAGGTGGCAGAGGAGTTGGGGTGAGCAGCAGAATCCCAGAGCAATGAACTTTTGGATTTTGGCTATGAGTTTTCTATAGCCACAGTAGCTGCTCCTGACCATTCTTACAAGCCATAGCACTACTAGGTGTTTCTGTCAACTGGTGGATATGAGCAAGGCAAGATACTGCTGTATCCCAATTCCTACATACAATTTTGTTGCAAACTAGGGAAGAACATTCTATTCACTTTTCTCTGGTTTAGTGTAATGTTTTAAAGCATCAGCCTAGAAACAAGGGGAGAGTGAGTTCTAGTCCCAATTTAGGCATAAAAGCCAGCCAGGTGACTTGGCCAGTCATTCTCAGTCCATACTTAGTTGATCCACTTAGGGTTTTTTTTTTCTCCTAACATTTTCCTAATATTGTCTGGCAACAGGAAGAAACCAAAAATGGGTAGTACCCCCTCCCCCATTGTATAGTGGTGAAAAGGATGGCATAGTAACAAGGATAATTCAAAGGAATCCGGAAAATTACCGTATTTGTCCATGCTGAATTAATGTATTTTATTGATTCTCACGTCACACAGAACCAACCCAGATAGAATGGGGTTTGCACAACTTACAAAGTTCCTACCTCCCAAACACATAAAAGTAAATGAAAAATTACAGTTGATATAATGATTAAGGTGCTGGACTAGAAAGCAGAAAACTATGAATTCTAGTCCACTCTTAGGCATGGAAGGCAACTGGAGGACTTTGGGCCACTTATATCTTTCATATAACCAACCCACATTTACAAGGTAATTGTTGTGTGAAAAGTAGAAGGTAGGAACATTGGGTATGCATGCTGCTTTGAGCCAAAATAGAGTCTGGATAAAACATATCAATAATTAGGTAACATAACACAACCAAAAGTTCACTTTCTACTCAATATTACTTCTTCACATTCAAATTGAAGGTTGCATTCCCAGGGATCTCTTAGCCAAGCAGATTCCTTCACCAACCCCCTCCCACTCCCTTTCTCCACATAAAAGTTATTCAAGATTCCAGTCCAGCATGGCATTGTAGGAAATTATGCCTCCCAACTATGCTACTACTCAGTAGCTCACTGATCCTGTTATAGCAACTTCTCTTACTTTTCTGCTTCAATGTTCTATTCTGTCTTCTGAGTATTTTCTTGATGTTTCCATTTTGCTTTGCCACCAGTGAATGCTGAATTCAGTTTTATCTCCAAATTAGCTGTTAGCTGGCCAGTAGTGCAGTACAATAGTAACTCAGCTATTTAGTGAGCCCTTAGCACAGCAATTCATAGCATGTAAATCCACTAAGAACCCAATGCTCAGGTGCTTGTAGTTTCCTAGGACATCTCCCCACTGACTGAAAATAACAGGCTTTCAGATCTCAATATTTGTACACAAGAGTAAACAGTAGTACATTCTGTACACAGCTGCATATATTTCTTGAGGCATCAGATATTCCACCTATCTTTCAATTCAGCCTGAATTTAGTCATCTCAATAATTTCCTGAACTTTCCGTGATATTTATAACCTAGATTTTCATTCCACTTGGCTTTCTGCTTTTAGAAATAACTGTCAACTAACATTAGATCGAGAGGCTGCTTGAATCAGAATGCCCTGGTTGAATACCATTGTATCTTGTATGAGAAGTTAAAGCATAATATAACTCTGTAAAATAATAATCTAAATAACCATTATGTTAATATATAACACAATATAAACCTTATCACAGATACTATAATTGCCTTCCTAGCATAGGCTATGAAAATCACAGTAAGAATATTATTGCCAAAGAGAACAAGTAGGGAGAGTGCAGTTCAGGTTGGCAAGTTGCACTCAACAGCAGCCCTGCTTGCTTTTATTAGATTTATACCCTGACCTACTACCTGATGATGTTCAGGGTGGACTCTACCTATAAAATCACATAACAGCAGTAGAATGCTAAATGTTAGTCATAAATCTTTGTCAAATTGAATTCAGATTTCAGGGAATACCAAAGTAAACAAGCAAGTCTTTAACTTTTTTTTCTTAAAATATACAGTGAGGTGCCAGCAGTCCAAGGTCTAGTGCTACTGTGGAGAAGGCCCATTAATGTATGTACTGCCTCTTGCAAGGTAGAATCATAACAGTTCAGGTTGCTTTGCCCAGTACTGATCATTTTGTAGTCTCTCAGCTATTGATATCCAGAACCAGTTAGAGTTTACAGGCAAGTAATCCAGGGGTGGGAATGAAAAATGTTAGTAACTGGTTCTCTGCCCGGTTGCTGGGTGGGCATGGCCTACTCTGCCTCCTGCACCACAGCGGGAGGGAGGGGCGTTTTCACTTTCCCCAGGCTCCAGAGGCTTTCCTCGAGCCTCCAGGACGACGAAAACAGCCTCCCTGGGCTTCGGAGGCCAGAAATGGGCATGTTTCTGGACTTCCAGGAGACTCGTTTTTCACCTCCCAGAGCTTACACGTGGGCCTTGCACTTAGTGGAGATTCCTGGGAGGGGCAGAGCAGGGTGGTTGGGGCCAGCCAGTTCTTGCAACTACCGGTTCGTGTGAACCAGATGTAAAATTAAGATCCGGTTCACCCGAACCAGTGCAAACCGGCTGAATCCCACCCCTGAGGTAATCCGTATTATACATCAGGACCATTGTTGTAGTGACAATCTACCCATCTTAAAGATTTGGCTTGAGTCTATTAGCTATTTAATCTGCTGACCTGCTTTTCAATATATATAGATATCAAATAAAATGGGATTATATCCTATGGATCTGCAGTTTGATACTGTGGAGACAGTATTGCCCATAACTATTTTGGGGAAATGGCTCCACAGATAGGAATGGAACCAATACAACACCATAGTGCCACTTGATAAGATAGCATCATCCATTGTATCAAAAGTTACTGAGAAGTTTGAATATGCTTGTGTCTTCATTCTAATTCCAATATTCTGAAATAGATTTCAGGCAAACGGAAAATGAAAAAACAGTTGTCTTTCAAAGTAATAGAATATGGAGTCCATAAAATAACACTCCCCAAATCGCATCCCAGTACTACAGTTGGTGAGCTAATAGGAAAGCAAAGGCTGTTACAAGAGAGATTTATTGCCTAATGGATCGTGGTATGTGATGTTTAAAGCAGACGAATTATATATTCTGGATGTTCAGAAATGTTTCACAATTTGCAAAGGTTAAAGACCTGAATGTTCAAGTGCAGCAATAAAAATCTTAGAGGAACAAACAGATCAGAGAACTTTGATGCTCAATCTCCCGATGGCGTAAGCTGATGCAGAATATGGAAGCAGATGGAAGGTCACTATTAAAATAGCAGAACAGGGGAAAGTCAAAACTTTTTTGAATGATTAAAATATATAATTGTTGAAGAAATCTAAAAAGTACATCATTGTAACACAATGTAAATGTCATACATTTTTGCTGTTTGTTCATCTTGCCTTCAGAAGTTATGGGTGCTCCATCACTGGAGATTTTTAAGAGTTTCGACAGCCATTTATCTGAAACAGTATAAAGTCTTCCTGGTTAAGGAACTTGGTAGCTTGAACAGGAAAAAATGCTTCTTAGACTTAGACTAACTTTGTCACTTTGAATGTACACTAATTGGCATACATTAAAATGAAATTTCGTTGCATACAGCTCTCAAAGGGTCATCACCTCCAGTATACACTACATAAAAATGACATAATAAATACAAAATTACGCATATACCCACATGTATTATATGACACTGAGAAACAACAGTCTAGTCCGGATGTGGATTCAATTGGCCAATTGTAAACAAACTGACAAAAAGTGGTTCAAATATTCAACTTCTGCAATTTACAGTTATCAGTATGTTCTGCTTCTTACACCACTCACTTCCTTTCCTTCTACAATCCAAAGCCCATTTATGAAGCATCCAAACCGTTCGGGGTGCTTTTCCTATCTTAGGTATGATGCAATAATTGACTTTTATAGCAGTTTTCCTTCCGTGGTCTTACACAACACTGAGCTACCTCTCTGAAATTATGTGTCATTCTGTCCTCGTGCTGGTTCTTGGTTTTGTACAAATTTCCACTGGGGCTGAATGGAAATTCCGCTTGACAAAAAAAAAAAAAAAAAAAATTCCAAGTCGCGGTCGCATTTTTCCAGCCGTGCAAGTTTGCGCAAGTGTGTAACTTGTAGATTCTTTCAGCTCTTCTTCGTGCATTTAAGAGCTTTCCCAGTCCAAGCTAGGAGAAACTGGACAGAGCAGCCTCTCCGTTTCTCCCCAGAAGGACATTATACGCATTTACACCCCTTCTCCTTTACACCCAGAAAGAGGAATTCTAACCCATTCTGGGGCGAATGCTACAGGCTTCCTCTTCCTCCGCCCCGGATCACACCTGGGAGGGTGGAGCGAGGAGAGCCGTTGCCCGTCATTGGCTTATTTCCTATGGGGTGAGGGGGTGGATCTCGCCGCCAGGCTGCGCGGGGAGGTGGGGGAGAAAGCATCGCTGCTTTGCAAGACGGGAAATGGCAAAGCTTAGACGACCTTCTTCGGACCGCCGCGCTAACTACGCTTCCCTGCATGCTCCTGGCCCTCAGAACGCTAGGGGTGAAGGGGATGGAATCGCTCGATGCACTGTGGGAGTTGTAGGAGCGACGAACGGAGCCGCGTTCAACTTCCCGACGGCCCTTGCGCGCCTCTGCTGCCTTGGGGCGGAGGCGGTGGGAGGAGGGAGGAGGAGGAGGAGGTTCAGGGAGGTGGCGTTGCGGCATCCAGCGGCAGACCGTCGGCCGGGGTGACTGGGAGCCGGGTTTTTTTACTCAGCCCGGAGGCCCTTCCCGCCGCCATCGATGTGAGCAGGCGGCTCTCGGGGGGAGGATTGGGAGGGCGGGCGGGGCCGTGTGTGGGTGGGGCCGGCTCGGTGTGTGTGGGGGTGATCCTGCCTTCTTCACGCTCGGCTCCAGAGGGACGGCGCGACTTAAGAAGCGCTGCCACTCGGGAGTTAAAGGCCAACGGTGCCCCCCCACACCCCGGGCTCTACCCAGCCTGGCCCGACCTGGTCTGGCTCTTCCTCCGCCTCCTCCTCCCTCCCTCCGGTCCCAGCGTCTCTCCGTGAGCGGTTGGTGCTGCTGTCAGGCCGGCGCGCGCGCGCGCTCGCTCGCTCCACATCTCATCCCCCCCCACCCACCCTGCCGGCACGCGACGAAACCACAAGACGCAAAGCCGAAGCGCGCTCGCGCCTCCTTTAGCCCCGGAGACTCATCTTCGCCGCCGCCTCCTCCTCCTCCTGCCCCTTGAGTAACATCGAGACGCGAAACAGCCTTGCGCCCCAGCGGAGTTGCCCACGCAAAGACAACGGCGGAGATATGAAGATCAAAGATGCCAAAAAACCATGTAAGAAAGATCCTTTTTCTCTCTCTCTTTTGGAGACTTGCCTTTTGCTTTGCTTTTGAAAAAGAAACGGGTATCTGTATTATAGTCAATCCTGGGTGTTTCCACCACGTAGCTTCTGTATAGGTTTTTTTCTGCTTCTCTTTGCATTAGAAATGACTGTTGCAAAGTACTATTTTAAAACAATGTATTGCAAAATACTTTTTTAAAACAATGACCAAGAAATGATTGTGAAAGTGTGTGTGTGTGTGGCGGCGGGGGGGGGGGGGAAGCAGAGGCATTTACTAGTAGTTGAGCATCCAGTGCATAAATGCATTCTTGAAAGTAAATCCCATTAATCCTATTTAACTTAGTATTGAGGAAAAAACATGGGTTTTTTTTAATAGTGAAAACGTAAATAAAAATCAATATTGTTTTCTTTTGACTAGTTGCATGGATGTAGGGAACTAAATTCCTTATGAAGTGGAACTGATTATATATATTACAAATGTTTACAGTAGCAATAGCATTTAAGCTTATATACTTCCCTAGACTGTACAGCACTCCATTCCAGAATAGCAGAAATGATCAAGGGGAAGTACAATTTCCTAAATAAAACTTCACTTTTTCAGAACACCTGTAAAAGTGACATCTCTTGCTGTTTGTCTTGGCATAAAACTATTTATGCAAGACTGTTTAAGTTTAACTAAAACAAAGTATTGCATTTGGTAACTTAATAAGAACGTGCCCTATACCTAAACAATTTTTTAAAATGTGAAAATATACTACTTGTACGTTTTATTTCTATAGCTGGAATGCCAGTATTAATAGCTAAAGTACAAAAAAGGGAAGTGGTTAATTTAATGCTTTGACATTTGTAGAAGAATATATATATGTAATTGTATTCATCAGTTTTGAGTACAATACAGAATATTTTTGTCATATTTGCAGGGATAAAATACTTTCTGATTTATTGGAACAATGTGTACATGATGACTGAAAAACCTGCTGTACATGCATAATCAGCTAGTAAAAAGTTGTTTTAACAAGACAGCTTTTGTATTAAAATATACCTCACCGTATGGGATAGTACTTTTAGTTACAGTGTGCCTTCTCTATCTGAGGTCTGGGAACAAAATGTTCAGGCCACCTTCAAGGTCACTGCTTTTCCTTCCTAATGATTAAAATTAACACAGACCCCTTCAAATGCAGGACTGTGAAAGAAATAAGGTCTCTTTGAAATTGTGTTAACGAAAATTCTGCTTCTGTAAAAACAAAAAGATACTGTGGAAGATTTAAGATCTTCAAATGAAAATGTACCTAAATAAAGTTTTATGAAAACTAAAAGCGTTAACTTGCTTCTGATAATCACATGTAGAATAATTCAAACTCATGTTTCCCAACAAATCCATAAAATCTAACTTCAGATATGTGGTTGTTCATTTTTTAAGGCTGAAAATAATAGCTGTTTTGTTGGCAGAAAGAATGTTCAAGGTTTTCTTAGTTTATTTAACTTTATTGCACAATAATAAAAAAGTTATAAACATGTGACCTATGTTCCAATATTATTTGAAGTATGGATTGTAATATGTTGATTACAATTTATGAAGCAACCTATGTAAAAAGCTTTAAAGCAGGAATTCCATATCTCCCCTAAAAAGTAATACTCCAAACTAAATGTACATTAACTAGAGAAGAGTGAATTTGTTGTAACTATGTGAAACTAAAAGATGCTTTACACCTCCCTTGGACTCTGTTTCCATTTCCCCAAGGGAGGTATGGTATATATCTCACAATTTGGGAACGGCTGTTTTACAGCCTCTTCAAATTAATCAGCCTATTGCAAAGTATTATTTTAAAATAATATCAAATCTGCACCCAAACATTTCCATCTAATGTTTTCAAATGCTTAAGCCATTCTGAAAGTATTCTGGTTGGTCTTAGCTTCAATTCACTGATTCCTGAGTAATTTAAATAGCTGCTTTTGGGGGGAAAAACCACTGAAGTGCTTTTGTTCTTAGAATTGTGCATATGCATACATATTTGCATATGCACACTTGACCAGCCCATTGGAGATAACAGAAATTAAGCAAAGTTATCATATACTATATATTGTGTAACAAAATCCTTATAATATATGGGAATCAATGGAAATACATAGACGTGAACTTATCCTCTTATGAGAGCTTTTATGAACACCAAACAATTTTAATGATTTTTTTAACAGAATAAAGTGGCCTGGTAAATAAAATAATGTTTGGTATTTCTAACAATAAAGCACTCTCTCCCTCTCTCTTTTTCTCTCTCTCCACAGCTTTTCCATGGTTTGGAATGGATATTGGTGGAACGCTAGTGAAACTTGCATATTTTGAACCTATAGATATTACTGCAGAAGAAGAGCAGGAAGAGGTTGAAAGTCTGAAGAGTATTCGCAAATATTTAACATCAAATGTGGCCTATGGGTCCACTGGTATTCGAGATGTCCACCTTGAACTTAAAGACTTGATACTCTTTGGACGAAAGGGAAATTTGCACTTTATCAGATTCCCAACACATGACTTGCCTACTTTTATTCAAATGGGAAGAAATAAAAACTTTTCCACGCTACATACGGTGCTTTGTGCCACTGGCGGCGGTGCTTATAAATTTGAAGAAGATTTTCGCACAGTAGGTAGTTTAGTTGCATGTTCTCTCACTCTGATTGACAGAGTATGTATACTGATCATCTGCGGTGATAGTCATTAATCTATGTAGCAATTAGCATTTAGGCTTATATACCTACCCATAGTGTCTTACAGCACTCTGGGCAGTTTACAGTGTCATTATTTTGGCATTGCTCCCAACAATCGGGGTCCTTATTTTACTGACCTCGGAAGGATGGAAGGTTGAGTCAACCTTGAGCCCTGTCAGGATTCAAACTCCAGACTATGGGCAGAGTTTCCCTGCAATACTGCCCTTTAACCATTGCGCCACCAGGGCAGTCACTTCTTTTTCATAAGGCAAGGGTCTGATAAGGGCAAAGAGATCTCTAGATTTGTACTTTGGAATTTGACTGCTGAAGAATCACTGTCTGTATGTAGGGAGGAATAACTTCCTAAATAACTCCTTGTTTTCTTTGCAATTCTGCACAAAAGAGCTGGCAAGATTTCCCTGAATCGTTCTTTTAAGTATTACAGCAAAAAAAATATTAAGATATGGTGACATAGATGGGATTTGGAGTATGTGGATATATTGGGCCTTGCCCTGTTCAGGCAGTTTCCTTTTGTCTTTTTCTTTGCTTAGCAGCCAGCAGTTCCAATTATTACATGTAAAGTAGGAAGGCAATTGGACAAATTTAGATAACTTGCTGAACATGTGAACTGAGTAGCACATGCTTATCTGATGTATCTTATAAATTTTCATGCGCTGCATATTACGTATACAACAACCCTCTACTCCAGTATGTTGCAATATAACACTTTCATCAGCTGCAGCAATCAAGTCTTTTTTAAAAAGAAAAATGATTATAACATTTTTATAAAAAGATCAGGATAGTATTAGTGATGCAGCGGAAACTTGACTTTCATATTTTGATAGTTAATATATTGTATGGTGCTCTGATATATCAATATATAAAATTATCCATAAGGGTCTCCACATTTTTTAAAAATATTTTCATCTTGCTTTTATAATTTTTATAAATAACCCAAGGCATACCAAATAACCTAAATAACATAACTAATACCCCTTCCTCCCCCTATTTTCTCCACAACTCTGAGGTGAGTTGGGCTGAGGGAATGACTGGCCTAAAGTTCCCCAGCTGTCTTTTATGCATACAGGACTAGAATTTATGCATGGTTTCTAGGCCAGCATCTTAACCACTAGCCCAAACTGGCTCTTAGACTATAGCTTCCAGTATTACCTTTACCAGAGCTATAATTCTAGTTCAACTGCTAGAAGATCATAAGCTCTCATTTGGTGTAGATGGAGAAAAAATTAAATTTTACAAAAATGGTAGAAAGATGGTTTAGATCTAGAATGAAAGATGAGGCCCCTGAAGCCTCTTTAAGTTTTGTTCAGAAACATGTTAACGCTAATCAATATTTTCTCTTCTTTTTGGAGATTGGAGACCTCCAGCTGCACAAATTGGATGAACTTGATTGTCTCGTCAAAGGCTTGTTATATATAGATTCTGTCAGTTTTAATGGCCAGGCAGAATGCTACTATTTTGAAAATGCATCAGAACCTGAAAGATGCCAAAAGATGCCTTTTAACCTAGATGATCCATACCCTTTGCTGGTTGTAAACATTGGCTCAGGAGTCAGTATTCTAGCAGTTCATTCCAAAGACAACTACAAGAGAGTGACTGGAACAAGGTACACATATAAATGCATGCCAAGTTTATAATATCGTGCTTTCTCAACTATCTTTCAGATATGTCCGTTCCGAACTATGTCTTTTTCAAAGTATCTTTGATTTTACAGTATGAGTTTTTATGCTTATGTGTTTATGAAATATATTGAATGGCCATCTCAGGTTTATTTTTGAGAATATTATGAACTGATCATTATTAGATAAATTATTTTTAAATCATCATAGGTTAAAAAAAAATCAAAGGAAAGCAAGCCATCAAGATTAAGAAAGTCCCAATTGCTGATGATCAGTCCTTTGGTAATAGCTGCAGTAATTTAGTTGTGGTGTGAGTTGACAGATTATTTGACTATCTTGGTTTCCAGATAGACATCTTAAGCTGGACTTGTTACATTCAGAATAATGTTCATAAAGTACCCTGTGGAGTAGCAGACTGTAATAGAAATTAAAGTATTTATTATATGTTGGTTCATTAAATACACTTCCTCTTATATCAGTTGATCATATTATATCTCTCCTAATTTTAAATAGGTGAGACATGATCATCATTGCATTAGTTAAAATGTATAATTTTACAAATATTTCATGTTCAGTCTAGGTGGTGGGACCTTTCTTGGTTTGTGCAGTTTACTGACCGGATGTGAAAGTTTTGAAGAAGCTCTAGAAATGGCATCCAAAGGCGACAGCACACAAGCTGACAAGCTAGTCCGGGATATTTATGGGGGAGACTATGAACGATTTGGCTTGCCAGGATGGGCAGTGGCATCTAGGTAGGTACTGCAAAGTAACACAGATCTTGAATTCAGGACGTGATGTGTTAGTAATATATCCATTGTATTATATTATTAATTTACAAATATCCAAGAAATATAGAACAGTAATATATTTTTGAAATGGAAAGCATGTTGGTGGCATGGAAAGAGTAGCTTTAATAGTACCCTCCATCCATTAGATTATATATTTTAATATTTTTCTTTAATAAAGATTTGTAGAACAAAATTGTGTAAGACATTTAGGTTAAATTTACATTCTCATGCCACATAGTTTCTGAGAAAAGCACTAATGCTGTGGAAGGAGGAAGGAAAGAGAAGAAAAGGACAATTGATAGAAGGTTCTTTGGTAGCAAGAAGAGTGGGGTCAAAGTGTTCTCCAAAGCACCTAAATGCAGAACAATAAATAACACATGGAAACTTATCAAGGAGAGATCCAGCCTAGAACTAAGGAGAAATTTCCTGACAGAACAATTAGCCAGTGGAACCACTTGCCTCCAGAAATTGTGGGTGTTCCATCACTGGATATTTTAAAGAAGAGGTTGGACGGCCATTTGTCCAGAATTGTATAGGATATCCTGCTTGAGCAGGGGGTTGGACTAGGACCTCCAAGATCCATTCCAACTCTCTTATTCTGTTACAGTGGACAGATTCAATTACAGTGATAAAGATTATGCCATTGGGAGACTTGTAACAGATTAGGAGTCAATTGTCATGGAGAAAATCTGCCTGAGTGGTCACTACAAGTCAAAAACAAATTGATGGCATATCAAATCATAACTCATAGAGTTATCTGGTTAAAATTCTAATTAATTGCCTAGCACCAATAGTTGTCATGAAAACCTTGAACTGACTTCTGTCATTAAACCCACAAGTAGTGCTTGCCAACTGAAATTGATTTAAATATGCACTTCAGTTGAGTCCCCAGAATGTCTGTTAAACAATAAAATATGTATATCTTGGTATCTTGAAATATCTTTGCAATCATAGTCATAATAATATGACTAAAGAGGTTTTCAGCTAGGTTTGCTTAGAAAAGAGCAGAAGATTGATTTATAGCTTAACAGACTAAGGTTTTGTTGCACAGAATAACATTCTTTCCCATTGCCAATTATGTTTGATTTCCATTCAATATCTACTTTGTCAATCTACCGTATTTTTTTGAATATAAGACTATAAGATGCAAAAACGGGGCATGCAGAGAGTTTGAGAGGCCTGCAAAGTGCTCCTGGGGGCTGAGGGGCGGCAGCAAAAATGAGCAAAAAAATGGCCTGTTTTTCGCTTGTTTGTGCCCTCCCCAACCCCCAGGAGCACTTTGCAGGCCTCCCAAACCCTCTGCAGGTCCATTTTTGTGAAAGGGGGGGTGGGTTTGGGAGGCCAAAAATACTGTATTCAGTGTATAAGATGCACCCAGATTTTCACCCTCTTAGGGGGAAAGAGTGCGCCTTTTACACTAAAAAATACAGTATTTTTTTCCTTCGCACACAAAAATGACTGAATTAGCTCATTTATACTGCATTCGTTTTTTTCTTAGATAATAGTGATTGGTAGGTGACTGCTTGGCAGTAAATAGAAGAATCATGCAGTTGAAAATCATTTTGCCAGACTATCAATTAATTGCTTCAGTGCCCAAGGGTGCAATTAATCTGGTCCTGGAAAATTAAATTCAAAAAACTATTTCCTGTTCATGTTTCTATTGCGTAATCTTCAGTACTGCCTGATGAACCTGCCTTTCACAATTTCCAAATCCCAGGACTTTTTTTATTTCAGAAGACACAATAGCTCTTCCTTTATTTGATACATGGTAAAAATTTTCTTCTTCACAGAGTAATTAACAGTCTACTTTAAAATATATATTTGACTGCACTTAGTTCTTCTTTCTCTTAAGTCAAGAATGCCTGCATACATTCACTGTCACCCAATTTCCTGCTACTTCCAGAAGGGAAAAGCAAAACTAAATAAAAAAAAATAAATTGATTCATCAATAAGGGTGATTTGGAAGCATGGGCACAAAATAAAGTCTGCCAGTTATATCAAAATACTATGAAGCATTTAATGACTGTGGATGTTTCTAGCTTTTTTCCATCCTACAGTCCTACCAATAGGCTAGACTTAAATCTTGTTGCTCTGACACTGAACATTTTTGATCTCCCAAAGAGGAAATCGTTTCTATAGGTAGATAGGTGTAACTGGAAGAATATAGATCAGTATCAATTCTAATTGGGGAATTTTGCAAGTTTATTTTTATAAGTGCAAAGGTGCTTTTTGTTGTCTAATTATGTGCCAACTCTTAGCAACCACATAGATAGATTTTCTCCTTGAGAATCTGTCCCTAGCCTGTGTTTTCAGAGTTTCACAAAAGCTTCTATCCATCAAAAGAGATAATGATCTTTGGCAGTGCACCATCTGGCTTAACTGTATTGAGCTTTGAGTGCGAAGGTTGTTGAGTAGTTATTGTTGCTTACAGAGCATGACACAAGTCCTTTCAAGCTTTGTAAGCAGCTTTTATAAAGAAGTACATCTTATCGCAGGTGGAGAGAGATGATAATATATACTTTTTTTGATGAACATCAACATTGTAAACATTTTTTCTAGCTTTGGGAATATGATCTGCAAAGAGAAACGGGAGTCTGTCAGCAAAGAAGACCTGGCTAGAGCAACCTTGGTTACTATCACCAATAACATTGGATCTATAGCACGAATGTGTGCTGTAAATGAGGTAAACAGTGTTAGGGGAAGGATGTAGAAACTTTGGGTTGTCTTAAATACAGATTGGAACAATTTTTGTGTTAAGGATAAGCAAGTTCTTTCTCATTATAATGTCTATTCAATATTTGTCCTTTTTCTTTCATTGAATTGAAATACTCCAGAGCAATCCTAAAGTTGATTGGCTTCTAAATCTCTGTCTGTCGTACAATTTAGAGATTGTCCTATTCCAAATGACTCTAGGTGGCTTAATCAATTAAAAAAATAACTAGTATCCAGAAGGCAAACACTCTATAACCAAAGGGGGAAAAATGTCCTACAAAGATCAACCACAACTCTTTTCATAGCCTTGAAGAAAGCCAAATTTTCAGTGACTTACTTCCTGAATGTTACCCAAACGCACAGACCTGTGGGTGGATGCTCTTCCTTTGAGCAGCTCCTGCACCAAGAGAAGGGAGGCTTCGTGGGTCCTGTTAGATGACACTTTTTATCAAAGAATCAGGAATGCTCCATTCTCACCAGTGGAAAGAAACAATTGAGATAGGCATTCCATCAGCCAGTTCCTATGGCCATTAAGGATTTTATAGGTGATAATACTGATCTTGTATTACCTACAGAAGCTGATTGATAGCCAGTGCAGCTTTTAGAGCATGCCGTCATTGCCTGTTCCATCATTCTGGACTGTTGTAGCTTCCAAATGATTTTCAAGGGCAGCCCCTGTACAGCTTATTGCAGTAGTCCATTCAACTATATTAGCTAATTAATTATGATGTTTGGCCTAGTGCTTGGGGAAAAGGTGTCTGTGTTTTAAACTATGTTTTATGGATTGTTGTGGTCTATTCTAGGTAGGGTCATTGTATGAGATAGGCAGCCGTATAAATCTTGTAAATCAATCGTTTTTATCCCATATACATTCCTCAGGAAGTTTGTATAGTGAACACACTTCTACGTTTCTGCTCTGAAGCGCTGCTCTCTGAATTTCTGCATCTGTTTTTTATGCATGGAAAACTTTAACGTAACCAATTTTGCCCAACAGGAGAAAGAATTAGTTGCTCATTGGGAATATTTCTTGCTGTCTTTGGCTTCTTTACAGTGCTGCCTTGTTGCATATGGATCAAGCAGCATTGTACAGGGCTATGAAGACACTAAGTATTGCTTCACTGTAAACAGTGGTTGAATTGTATTATACCTAACACATAAAAATTTGAGGAATGCCCCTTAGTATTTTTGTGTATGCAGGATAAAGATTATAGGGATATGTGCAAACCATCTGATGTCATTGCCCAAAGTTTACTTTGATCTTGCATTGTTGGTATAGTTAACGCTTAATAAAATGCAACCAGAATTTATAAAGCAATTTCAAATTAACAATTACTCAGAGGCCTGACAAATTAAAATGTCTTGTCTGTGTGAAGAAGGCATGAATCTTGATATCAAATAAACTTACCTGGAAATACTGTTTTTTCTCTTTTTTTCTGGACAAATTCAAGAACAATTTTAAGTAGGAAGCAGAATTTTTGTCATATTCATATTGATTCCAATTGCATTCCTGAGCTGAGTTTTATTCAGAGAGTGTATTAAAGTGGTAAATGATTTACATGGTTCAGCTTCCTTGCAACCATTATACTAACTGCAGATCTATTCTGGAGATTTGGGAGAATTTATAGAATAGAGTTTGATATGATCTGGGAATAGAGGGAGATGGAGAATTGGCAGAAATCTCAGTTTTCTCGACTGGCTCAGAAGACCTCTGAGAAGGAAAATACTGCTTTTATTCAAATAAGAAAATGTCTGTCCAATTCACTGACAGGTCTGCATAGTGCTTTAAGTGGGTGGTAATGTGTATAAATTGATAAATTTCTACAGTTAAATAAAATGTAGACTGTCCTAGAACAGCACCTGGCCAAAGGCAGTATATAATTCTAGTATGTAAAGTAATTCTATTGAATGTAACTTGCATAAACAATGGGTCTATGTTCCTATGCACATTTATATACGAATAAATCCAGATAATAATTGCTGAAAATTGTAGTTTCATTTTTTCTTCCACTTCAGAAGGAAAATTTGAATTGTATTCAAGTTTATATTCAAGAATAGAAATATCTTTTTTTTTTCTTCAGAAAATAAACCGAGTTGTCTTTGTTGGTAACTTTCTACGTGTGAATACTTTATCAATGAAGCTTTTGGCATATGCACTGGATTACTGGTCCAAAGGCCAGTTGAAAGCTTTGTTCCTTGAACATGAGGTATGTATCAATCATATCTTTCTTACATATCTTTACTTATATAAGGTAACAATGTCCAGTATCCTGTAGTTATTTTTATTCTTGATTTGATATAAATATATGCATAGATGATGTGTTTATAGTTGAATTATCGGAGACAAATTTAAATGCTGGATTTTATGCATTACTATTATTGGGGGAAGGACACTTCTGAAGAGAACAGTAGGTTTCATTCTAAAGCTATTGGCAATATGTTTGGGAACATGTATTTATTTATTTGATAGATTTATTTCCCATCTTTTATTCAGGAGCTCATAGCTCACACTCTCCCATTCCCACCACCACCACCACAACAGCCATTTAAGAGAGGTTGAGTCAAATGACTGATCTAAAGGTACCTGGCAAACCTAGAATCTGGATCTCTCAAGTGCCAGTCCGTAATCTTCACTACTTTATTAGTTTTTTGGGACCATGCCCTTCAAAATCCTGTTGGGTGCAACCCTAGTCATAGTTGAACTCCCTCCCTCATTTATTTATCACACTTTTATGCTCACCCTTCTCTCAAAAGGCAATTCTGAGCAGCGTACAACAACCAAATAACACAACAAATATATAAAAAATGCCAAAAAATATAAAATGACATTATTTAAAATGAAAATATTATTAACATTTTAAAATACACAGATCCCAGAGTAAAAATATTAATTACAGAGCCATCTAAGAATGTCTCCAGTTCCTTAAGAGGCTGGAGGCCCTGGTGACACTACCAGGTTTTGAGGGACTTCCAGAATGATAAAACTTAATAGTATTCAAAGTGATTGGCTTATATTAAAATGGGTTTCAGTTGCTTGAAAAAATACAGGTTGAAAAGAAAAGACTCAGGGATTCTCTTCTAGTAACTTCTCTCAAAATGGAAAAAGAGTGGATGCAACCTTATAAGCCCAGTAAAACACACCATCACACAGAGAAATAGTGCACACAGATTTGATTTTCATGTAGTCTTATATGCAGTTTCTTAAATTGATAGGGAAGCTAGCGGTAAACTGAGCTCAGTCACAATCATGATAGCCTCTCATGCCTTCAAGCAGGTTGGAAGGAATTCAGAACTTGACAGTAAGGAGGTTTCCAAACAGAATTCCTTGCAGAGCCCATCAAGGAAGTCCTGGGCAATTTTTTTATATTTCTTTCCTTAAGAAATTATCTCCGGTAGGAAAAAAAGATGAAAGTAGCCATAGATACATATAGTTTTAAAGGGAAGATAATGTCAATTGGTGCTCTCATACAATCCAGGCAGGTTAATTCTTTTAAGACTTAGTATTTGTAAGCTTGACAGAAAGATAGTGTGCAGAGGATAGAAAAGCCACAACTGTCCCAAAATATTTATACAAGGGAAAGGAAAAAAGACTTTGTTTCATAATTCTGTATATTTTTTCAAAATTATCAAATATAATGTGTCATCAAAAACTGAATTGTGAAAAATCTTCTTTTAAATGCAGGGGTACTTTGGAGCAGTTGGTGCCCTTCTTGGATTGCCAAATTTCAGCTGAAGCTCAAAGCCACCACAATACTGAATGGTTCTCTAACTTTCTGGCATTATTACATATTGTTTTTATATCAACTGGAAGAGCAGAAGGGCTGCCATCTTTCTATAAATGTCTTTAACTGGAGGATAAAACTATCTCATTGTTGACATCTGGGTGCTCCTATAAAGAAGCACTTAGAAGAGGATTTGATACGGCATTCTCTAATCCATTTCATCAACATTCTCCAACTTGGTGCCCCTTCGAATTTCTCAGCTGGTATAGTGGTTAATTATGCTGGTTGCAATACACAAATAAGGGGCATCGAGCTGGGGAATGTCATAATAGACATTTAATACTCAGCATGTGTATTAAACTCAAAAGACATAATCTTAACTCTCTAGACCCTTCAATACTAACCCGGTTTTGCTTCAAAACTATCCTTAAGCAATTGGGTTGCATGTAATTACACAAGGTTTGACATGGTCTTGTGCTCAAGAGTTCATTTAGATATCCAGTCAACTCTAAAACTGATTGTAGCCATGAACGAAGAAAGGATCTTTGATGCAAAGTATTGTGTTTCAATGCAAGTAAGTTACAGCATGTTGAAATACTTATTCAGGCATCAGTGTTAAGTTTCCAAACATTAAACGTAAAAACATCAGCAACTGTTTTGTACAATTGATTTAATGAATTAATCAAGAATGTGTGTATAACTACCAGTAGCAGTACAAGATGACAGTTAAAAACAACAACAACAACCATCCCATATATCTCAGAATTACTGCTATAAACAGTTCCAGCAGATATGACTGAAATCAAAGCAGCAGTGGTGTGGCAAAGGCTGGAAAGACAGATCTTTAATAAGATGCCTTTGGTGTGACTTCCCAACTCCAAGAAAGTGAGTTGATCTCATGGAACCTCTATTAAGAATATTAAGTTGGGACTAGGCTGTGTCCTTAAACCATTACGGCAGCTGTAGAGGTTGAACTGCAGAGTCAATAGATCCGGTGTTCATTGCACCTTAGTAAACTGTTCCAGTGGTGCAACAGTGTGGCCTTGAGATAAACGCCTATACTTACTGTATGCCACTTTGGATACAATGGTAAAGTTTACAATAGTGGCATATTTAATAGACTGCTGCAACAAAGCTTACCATAAGACCTCAGCAAAACAAACAAAAAAAAAGAATAATCTCAGAAAAGAAACTTTCTATGCACAAGGATGTAATTATTGTATCCTGAAGGAATATGCAGTTACCCAATCCATGAATTAAAATTTTATAGAAGGGAATCTACCACTGACTTGAATTCATCTTGAGTTTTAGGTACTGCTTATTTTACTTGATCAAGGTGATATGCTATTTTGGCACATGAATATTTGATACAGCAATATCTATATGAAAAACAACTCCAACATTCTTGGACGTTTGGTTGGTTTAGGTGTTTTTTTTAAAATCATTTGTCTATAATTATATTCAATGATTAGTATTAGTAATTGGTTTGTAGTATGTAGCAATCACCTAAAATATTTTCTGTTTTTAGAACTTGGAAATTATCTCTTTATAGCACAGGGCAACATCCAGAAATTTGTATGTACCTCACTGGTTTGAGGAAGTCAGAAAATACAACTTCAGTAAAACAACTCATCATAGAAACATTATACTTGATTATTTTAATCCTGGTCTATTTTACAAAGTATGATTAATTCCCAATTCATACCAGGAAAGTAAAAAAATATTGTTTTTCATTTTGAGTTTTGAAACAATAGAAGCAAACAGTCTGTCTGCCTTTCCTGTTGTGAAGAGACATTTTTGGCATTACTAAAAATTATTTATCATACAATGTTTTTTTAATTCAACAGGTTTACATCCTGGTAACATCATAGGTTTGGAATAAGCCCCATAAACGAATTCATTGGCAATTTTTATCTTAGACAATTCTATTTTTATTTTTGCATTATGTAATTGCATTTGTAAGAACAGTGCTTTTACAAAAATGCCATTGCAATGTTACAAAATTCTGCCATTGTTCATGTGAATTCATGCTGTTAGCAACCTCATTTAGAACTACTGCAAAAGCTTTCTTGGTTGGGAGCGGCAGAGATCTCTCCTGAAAAGATAAAGATAAGCCAAGAGAAGGGACATTTTTTTTTCTCTCCTTGAGAAATTCTGAGTGTAGTGGCTCTTCAGTCCCAACAGTCACATGAGTGCCTTAAGGTTCCTTTTGGAGTTTCAATGACATATTCAGCTTTTCTTGGCTTTGAATATTGGCAGCTTTCAAACAAAATTCACCCATGATACTGTTTTTTTTTCTTTTTCCCCCCATTTTATTTTCAGTTCTAACATAGTCCCAGGGTCCTTACTGGTAGGTAACAATGTTCTACCTCTATCCTTAGGGGATAGATAGGATGGATGAATGGATGGATAGATAGATAGATAGATAGATTAGATGATAGATAGATAGGTAGGTAGGTAGGTAGGTAGGTAGGTAGATAGATAGATAGATAGATAGATAGATAGATAGATAGATAGATTGGTAGATGTTGTGAGTTGCAAAGTCATGTCCAAGCCATTGT